GAGAGAGAGAGAGAGAGAGAGAGAGAGAGAGAGAGAGAGAGAGAGAGAGAGAGAGAGAGAGAGAGAGAGAGAGAGAGAGAGAGAGAGTTGCCTCCACCATGAATGCATCACCGGTCATAATGTTTTTGCAAGCGAAGCTGCAACAGGTCATCTAGTTTTCTATTATATTGTCCATCTATACTTTTTCGTTATGGATGATTTGTTATGATTTGTGGAGGAAATGAGAGAGAGAATTTGGGGTGCTTTAACAACACACATTCCGGTCTTGCTAGCTCTGTCTTGGGAGATTTGATCGGTTAGGATCAGGCTGGCACTAGTGAGCTACACTTTCTCTGTGGATGGATGTGTTTTGTTGGTTTGTTTTTTCATACATGGCCTAATTCTTTGCCCTGCTTTGTATCATGGGCTGTCTTGTTGATGAAGTAATGTCTGTTGGCGGCCAGTTTGGGGTTTTGCCACAATATCTCTGCGAGGAGGCCCAGAGAGTGTTTGCTGTGGGTGTCATTCCTGCGGGCTGCTCTTTCGGAGCACATGGAAGAACGGGGTGCCTTCCAGGGTGTTTTAAGAAGTAGCGCTCCTGGTGTTGCATGGAGATCTTGTGGGATTTGGCGTAGTTCTCACAGTGGCCTCGCTGTAGCACTAGGGCATCATCCAATTCTGCAGTTTGCGCGGCAGGGGGAGGTTCATGGCACTCTTGGTGTTGCTTCCAGATCCTGGAGTGTTTGTCCTATTTGTGGTGGTGTTGTAGGCCATCTCAGAGGGCTCTTCATTTTTTTTAGACCATTGGCATGTGTGTTCAGTGCTTTTTTGTTATTGGAGACTTTTGTGTTATGCTGTTGGGTTTGTTTAACCAAGTTTGTGGTTTTGTGGGCTGATGCGGAGGACTCTCCAAATTTTTTCGGACCTATGGTGGATGGGGTCGGTGCTTTCTTGTTGGTGGAGTCCTCTGCCTTAGCTAAATTGCCTTTTGCCCTCCATATGGATTATGAAATAAATATATCATGTATGTATATATCGTCTATGTGCAAGTGTGCCGCTTCGGCGGCAGACGGGTGTATGGGCACTTGGCGATGAACCACACAAATGTGGCCAACCTTGCATTTTCTATTGTATTGTTGATCTATACTTTTTCGTTATGGATGGTTTGTTACGATTTGCGGAGGAAATGAGAGAGAATTTGGGGTGCTTTAACAACACACATAGACACAGAGGCAGAACAGTCGAACTGACACGCAGGCATCAAACATATTATCCGAGTGACGGACGGATTGGCAAGCAGACAGACAGACAGAAAGAGAGACGGACACACGGGCAGACAGACAGACAGACAGACAGACAAACATACAGACACAGGCAGGCAGACTGTCTGGCAAACAGGCAGACAGGCAGAGATTTAGACAGACAGACAGACAGACAGACAGACAGACATGTACACTTTCAAGGGGAGAGATAGACAAGGGGGGAGACACAAACAGACGGGCACAAACAAAAATGAACAGAGAGATAATGTGGGGGGTTTTACAGGTGCTGCCGATTTATACACGGTATGTAGGTATGCCATGCAGCAAGTTGCTCCTCTGTGAGTCAGTTACTAGCATGTGCGAATGAGTCGGATGTAGAATTGTGGATTCTTGTAAGCAGGCTAGAGTGTATGTTGCAAGAAGAGAGTTGGGACTTGCAGGCTTGCAGCTGAATAGATGCATCTCCATGTTGTTTGGACTCTATTTGGACTTGCGACGTCATGCTGTTTAGATGTATGTTGCAGGTCCATGCTGGACTTGCGGCTGCCACCAGATGCAGAAACATCTGATGTGGGGTTAATGATTCCTGTACATGTTCTTCCATTGAGTTTGCCAACATAATTCTGTGAAGGCCGCTTGCAGGCTGGGTTTGCATGTTGTGCCCATGTGGAGCATGTAGTTTGGTGTCACCTTTGAAGTGATGATTGATGAAATGTGGAATCGTTTCTTTGCTGCTATTTTGCTTCCAGAGAGGTCACCAACCTGCGGGACGACGACAAACATCTAACAGTGAAGGTATGCCGCCTTACATTCACAACTGTTGAGGATGACTGGTGTGTAGCTGTTGATTAGCCATCAATCACTGTAATACTGTAATTTCAGGGGACTTCTTTTCTTCTGTTTTCAACCAGAGGTGGTGGAAATCTCTTGCTGATGCTCTCTCTCCCTCGCTATGTCTTTGTCTGTCTGTCTGTTTGTCCTTCCCCCCCTTGTCTCCCTCCCTCTCTTTCAAACAGTTGTGCGCATATGGAAGGTTCCGCAGAATATTGAGAGCTATTGTCAGAGTTGAGTCGGTGTAATTCTCATGTTGATGTTCTTGATGAAGAGGGTCATGTATCTCTTAAAATGGCTCTCAACGTTTCATAAACCACCACCTGCTAAAGGTTTGCAGGGTCTTGATGAAAAACCCATTGGTACGGCGGAATCCCTTCCACGATTGTGAATGTGGTCGGTGATGTAGCTAGGCATGATTGATGAATGGTGTTAAGGTTGATGCAGTACTTTGCCCAATCAACTCCAGCTCAACTGTTGTGCTTCTTATTTGTTGTTCTTCGGGAGCGCTGCTCTACCAGCTTTGGCATCTTCCACATGACGTTGACGCCCTTGCTTGCTTCAATTTTAATCAGCTCCGTTTGTTAAATGTTTGCCAAGGGTATTCCCGATGTAATGACCAGCACCTTCTCACATCTTGTCCTTATCACTGTTGTGCTCGACCATCTTCGCTATTCGCTTCTTGCTTCAAAGGTAGCCTTGAAAGTTTCGCCAATTTTTTTTTGACTAAATAAAACAAAACCCACAAAACTAAAAGCTACTAGAATTTTTTCATTATAAAGTAAAATTTGTTTTGGTTTGAAGTCTTTTGATGTATTTAGCGGTATCCGCAAAGACAGTCAAAATCAAAGTTCACAACAAAAAGCTAGTAAACACCAGAAAAATGGGTATCAGCCCTCTTACAGCAACAAGCTCTCAACTTTGTGCTTTCCTGCTGATCTGTCTGCTTTCCCTACAGGGTGGGAAAGGATGGAGAGAGAGAGAGAGAGAGAGAGAGAGAGAGATCTGAATTCCGGTTCAGCTGTGCGGGGGTCTCATTCTTGTTCTTCAAGCTCAGTCCGGCAGACTCGAGAGACGGTCTGAGAGGGATGAGAAGGAAAACGGCACGCTGACAGTCTATCCTTCAGTAATGGAGTAATCAATGCTGTTACTCCTGTTCAGGGGTCCCTTGGCCGAATGAAAGGAAGCATGAGCGTGTACTTACTGTAAATTATGACTTGCCGGGGGAATTGGAACCGGACTGACGCTCCCCCAGAATGGATATGTATCCAGGAGCATAAGGCCCTGTTTAATTGGAAAGAAAAAAGAAAAGAAGTTATGGGGCTTTGATATTTCTACATTCTCTTGTCGGAGCATGTTATGGAGGGGGATGGCCTTGCCGGAGTGATGTCCATTGGGTCCTCAGACAGGGCTAGAATGAACCAATAGCCCCTCAGAGAGCTATTTCATGCCTGAGTCAGAGGTCAGACATGCTGGAAAGCCAATGTCAATCCTATGGGGAAGGGTGTGAACAGAGCACAGCCGAAGACTCAATCAATGTACAGATCCATGGAATAGATACATGATGCATCGAGGCGACAGTGCAGATTGAAAATTAACTTGCACACTAGCAGGAGGGACATTCATAGACAAGGCCTAGGCTTCAACCGCGCACAGTCGAAAGGAAGCAAAAGAAGGAGAAGAATAAGAAAAAGAAGATGACAACGAAGAAGAAGAAGAAGAAGTGAGGAGGAAGAATACGAACTCAAAATATGGCAATCCCGATAAATAATCTCTCCTTTGAATAACCTCCAGTCTGGGAGAACACCCTTCCCAAAGAATCAAAACCAAACCTCTCTGTATCTCTATCAAGGAGGAGGAGGAGGAGGAGGAGGAGAAGGAGAAGAAGAAGATCTCAACTCGGTCTCTCTTTCTCTCTCCCTTGAACTAACTAGGGAAGGCGGCACCTTGAGCTGCTGATGTCACACAGGTAATCAGTCTCAGTCCAGCCCCCTTGGGGAGCTCCAGGTCTGGTGTCAGCAGGTAAGCATCGTCCTCTGTTACTGCAGACCTCAAATTGCCCTGCACTCCAGCATTCAACTGCTTGGTCACCTCTCGAGCTACTCCAGCAGCCTATTGCCTACCAAGTTGAACTACTAAAATTCTGTGCGCTGTGGTCTCGCCCAGCTTGTCGGAATGGTGCTGGACCGGCTACCCACCTGCCACCTGCGGAACTGTCCAGATCTACTAGCAATCTATGGTTCAGAATGGAGGCTGACAGAGTGCCTCTTGGTCTGGGTCTGGAATGCTGGTCCAGACTACACACTGACTCAGCAGTGTGCCCTGGACGAGGTCCAAAACCTGCAGGTGTACACCAACAGTCCTGTCTGCCAAGCATCACCATGAAGGGAACACACGGCTAAACTAGCTGTAGTCGTAATGTGGATGAAATCCTTCACCACTACTACCCCAATGAACGGACGAATATGACCTCTGATGAACAGACACATCAGGACAAAATGGGTGCCTGTTATATGGGCAAAGTATAAAAACACAACCTCTAGACCAAGGTCCCCTTCCTCGTCAATCCACCCCCATCGTCATCCCTCACTGACTCCTCTCATTATCCAACACAAGTCAGACCCGCTGGGGAGAGGCGGGGATGAGATAATCCGACAAAGGCGGGCAATGTCATGCAGGGAGGGCGGCCGTGGGCAGGCGGAACAGTGGACAGGGTTGAAAGCAAACCAAGGGTCTATCTCAAGTATTCATCACACAGCCAGATAAAAAAAAAGAAGAAAGAAAAGACCAAAAAATGCGAAACATTATGGTGGTGTATCTTCCACTTGCACATTTGGTGAGTAGTGGAGCCAGGCCTCAGGCCGTTGTGAAGGAACACGTCCCCGTCGCTCCTCCACTCCAGTAGGTTGACCCTGAGAGGAGGGGGCGGAAGCCACAGACGGCCAGATTGCGAAGCCGTGCTAGTGGGGAGCGTGTAGGATGGCAGGGAGGGCAGGCAGACAAAGGAAAGACCAAAAATATGGTGGTGTATCATCCCATGTTCCAGCGAAAGATTCATTCTCGAGGAAGGCGAAATTGAGGGACAGCGCTTCCTGGGCAAGGACGCGGACATCAAGGGCCCCTCATGGACAAATGACAAAAAAAAACAGCAGTGTATATATACTTCCAATGTTCTAGTAGAAGATTCATTCTGATTTTGCATCTTTGGAGAGTAGTGGAGCGAGGCCCACAGTAGTGACAGTACCATTCAATTTTTTTTTGTCTTTTGTTCGTGTCGGGATGAGTTAGAGTGAGGACCTCGTTGCACTACTCTCGACACCCTGAATTTACCCATGTTGTACCAAAAGATTCATTCTCAAACATGAGTAGATTCAGGGCGTAGCTCCACGTATTCTTTCTTGTCTTTTGTGCATGTTGAGAGCCCTGGAGTGAGGCTCGGGTCCCGCTACCCAAGAAGTGTTCAAAATGGGAACAAATTCTCCTCTAGAACATGGACAGATACACCGCCATATGTTCCGCAAAAACGCCAGAGTAGAAATCAGCAAAAGAAACGGCGCCGTGTGTGGTTCGAACGGGCGCCACAGAATCACGGGAAAAAAAACTTGCGCCGCCATGCAAGATACTTCCCGAAGAGGACAAAAAAGAACCGAATCTACTGAAAATAGAATCACGAAAGTGCAGTGTTGCTGATACCGATACGGCAAAAGGAAAGAAAATGGGAGGTAGGGCTATCACTGGTGGGGGGGAATCGGCAAGGGGGGGTGACCCTGCAGGGGTGGACCTCCTTTTGGGCAGATCCATGTAACAGACGTGCAGCAGATGCGGGGGAGATTCTGAAAATGCAACTGACCGATCACAAGCCATGCTTACCATCACGACTGGCCCCCCCAAAACGGCCCAGATTGATGCATTCATTCGTTTTGACCCAACCAAGGAAGCGGGTTTGCAATGGCTCACACACAGCCAACTGCTTGACCTTCCAACAGCCAGGATCAGGTCAAACGAAACCTGGACGTAAACAACGCGCAGAAGAGCCTCTGCGCCCTTCTTCGAAACGGTCTATTGGCGGGAACGAAGGGTTGGAACTGGGAGCAGCAACAGTGGGAACGGCTCTAACAATTTTCTATCACAGATAAGTCTGAATGGATCCATTGAACGCAGTATACGGTAAAGACAAGATCTGGAATCAATGCCAAAGGGCAGCGGACCTGGACCTACGGTCCCTCAACGTGAACGGATTAGCCACAGTAAAATACGAGAAACAGCAAGCAATTTGGGACCTGACTAGGGGAGTGGGGGGTAGGAATTGGCCGGACGTCATTTGTGTTCAGGAGACCCACCTAATGGACTCCCTAGAACACAACAGAATACACAAGTTGGTCTGGCCGTACAGAGCTTTTAGAGCACATGCCCCAAAGCCGGGTAGCGCGGGGGTCGCCATTTGGCTCCCTCCGGAGTCTCGGGCAGACCCCATCCACTGGGCTGCAGACGAAGTAGCAGGAAGATGGGTCTCAATCCTTGCTAAACTAGAGCAAGATGTGGTGTGCATCATCTGTATATACGCCCCTAATGGGGTGGGGGAAAGGAAGGCCTTTTTCGAGACACTTAAATCGCAGATCCCGACCGGAGTCCCGGTCAGCCCCGGACCGATGGATGGACCGATGGTGAACACCCTCCCCCGCCCCTCCCTATATCGAGGAAGATGAGAGGATGATCCAAGACCTATGCCTATCAATGAAACTTTTCGACACCTTCCGGAAACTCCATCCTGACACGAAATATTACTCCTGTCTCTGGAAGGAAGGAACAGTGTGGGGGGGAAGAACTCAGGTCATACTCCAATCTAGATTAGGTAGTTTAAGTGTTGATGGTGAGCTCTACGTGGTGAGGAGGTGGAGGCTACATACCTGTGCCTTCAGTAACCATGGACGACTACCCAATGTTCGCTATGTTGACCCTGTCCG